CAGATAGAATACTTTTACTGCCTTGTACGAGAGAGACTCAGATAGAATATATTTACTGCCCTGTACGAGGCAGACTCAGATAGAATACTTTTACTGCCTTGTACGAGGCAGACTCAGATAGAATACTTTTACTGCCTTGTACGAGACAGACTCAGATAGAATACTTTTACTGCCTTGTACGAGGCAGACTCAGATAGAATACCTTTACTGCCCTGTACGAGGCAGACTCAGATAGAATACTTTTACTGCCTTGTACGAGGCAGACTCAGATAGAATACTTTTACTGCCTTGTACGAGGCAGACTCAGATAGAATACTTTTACTGCCTTGTACGAGACAGACTCAGATAGAATACTTTTACTGCCTTGTACGAGACAGACTCAGATAGAATACCTTTACTGCCTTGTACGAGACAGACTCAGATAGAATACTTTTACTGCCTTGTACGAGGCAGACTCAGATAGAATACTTTTACTGCCTTGTACGAGGCAGACTCAGATAGAATACCTTTACTGCCTTGTACGAGACAGACTCAGATAGAATACTTTTACTGCCTTGTACGAGGCAGACTCAGATAGAATACTTTTACTGCCTTGTACGAGACAGACTCAGATAGAATACTTTTACTGCCTTGTACGAGACAGACTCAGATAGAATACCTTTACTGCCCTGTACGAGGCAGCCTTAGATAGAATACTTTTACTGCCTTGTACGAGACAGACTCAGATAGAATACCTTTACTGCCCTGTACGAGGTAGCCTTAGATAGAATACTTTTACTGCCTTGTACGAGGCAGACTCAGATAGAATACTTTTACTGCCTTGTACGAGACAGACTCAGATAGAATACCTTTACTGCCTTGTACGAGGAAGACTCAGATAGAATACCTTTACTGCCTTGTACGAGGCATGGCCCAAAAGTAATGTTAAAGTTGCTTTATATTTATATATATATATATTTTTATAAGAGAATGTTTTCAATAAAATTTTCCTTACTAACAATCCTTTTTATTTTGACTCTTACTTTGAAATTTTATTTAGTTATATATAATAATATTTATAACTATATTTATAATACTTTTCAAAATATTAAAATGAGCAAAAAGTTGGGTCTTTTCTATCGTCTCAAGGCAAAAATGTTACAGTCGTCGTTATGACGTCTCTTTTCGGCACTCATTTTTTTCACGCGCAATTCTTTATAACCTCTCAAATGCTTCTATTTAATAATCTTTACTACCATTTTGCTATAAAGCGTCTTTTTTGAGTTTTAAAATTATTTGAACTTTATTCAGATGTTATTTCTATATTTATTTCTTTTGCGTAGATATTAGGTACCGTCAGATTCAAGAGTTCGTGACGTTAAAGGTTCACTAATCGTCCACTCACTTCCTTCTTTTTCAACTGAAATGCCGAAGAGGTTGAGGACCTGACAACGTCAGATTTCAAAACATTGACAATTTATAAGGGAAATAATTAACATTATGAAAATACTTTTCATTTTTTTTTATAAAAAAGTTCTTTGAAATACCACTGTAAATTAAAGTCGAAAGATTGACAGATGCTTGGAAGAAGAAAGTGCGTGGAAAATGAGGTTATTTTGAATCCACTGCTTCGCAAGATTTATATGTATGCAAAGTGGAATGGATATGCAAATGCATTCTTGTAAGTTAAAATAGTTTTTAAAATAGCTCAAGACTAGATGATCTAGCACAAGTTTGGACTGTATATGAAATAAAACGATAAAAATGATATCTAATATGATGCATGATACAAAATGTTATCAACAGTCTCGTTTAAAGTCATCATTTTGCAAGTTCTATGGTCGATACATTGACCTTGTCAGCAAATACAATCTAACATTAAGGCGAATGCTGACTGAAGTTTTTCATACTTATTGTAAGCTATTATTAAAACACTGGATTGTCTACGGATTTTTCCGTTTGTCCGATCATGATACTGAGCGCACGGCGGGTGTGACCGGCTGACAGGGGATGCTTACTCCTCCATGGCACCTGATCCCACCTCTTATGGTCCATGTTTGCTCTGCTCCCGATTTATATTGTTTTAATGGACTTTTGAGCTTGATAACTGTTCGTTATCTCCACATTTCACGTATATATGAGAGATTTAAAAATTTATGGCTTACCTGAAAATAAGTACCGAAAAGTAACGTCATAATGATAACAGTTATATTCTTGCACTTCGGCGATAGACGAAACCTAACGTTGTGTTTATTTTAATATTTTAAAAAAGTAATGAATGTATCTGAGAAAATTTTTAAGCAAAAGGTAAAAAAGATAAAGGTATGATAAAGGCATGATTATATAAAATTTTGTTGATAACTTTCAATTAAAAAAAATTATAGTAGTTGTGACGTAAGTTTTGGATCAATCCTAATACTTTTACATATAACCTTGAGCTAATTTCAAATCACATTCAGTTTCTTCACTATAAAACATGGTCAAGACATGAATTCTACATTTTTAAAAAAAATGATCTTGAACTTGACCAAATGAACTTGGACAACCAAGTGACATTCGGTCGCCTCCGTAAATTTTCGACGAGCTGCTCATCGCAGATTTACGGAGACAGTTGAGCGTCTGGTACCTTCCCAGATCTTTCCTGCAAGCTCGGAAATGATTTTTCGAGTTGCCGGAAAGGCCCCAGAAGATACAGTTGCTACAAAGCAGTAAGTCACACTAGAATATTCAGTGTTCAAAATACGTGGTCATTGGTTCTACCAATCTTTTAAAATAATTGTATTTTTCATCTCAAAATTTAATTACATTGAACTACACTTCACTTTCAAGTGAAATACTTGAAGCAAAGTGATGCCAATACCGACGTGAAGCCCATTCAAGTTTCACCATTCTTAATTGAGACCTCCCTCCCCCACACCACCCCCAGTGCACCACTGGGTCTTCCTATTAATTATTAATAGATTCAGCAAATTCAAACAATGGTTCAGATATCTACTGTGTAGTATAATGGCTACAACGCTAGCTCACCTTCTCTTTTTAGAAGATAAACTTGTTGAGCCTATTTTGGTTGTAAATGATGCAAATATTAAACTTCTTAAAAAATGTTGAGAAATTGTTGACTTTTTATGATGTTCAAAATTCTGCTTTCTTACCATCACCCTTATAAATATAAACAATTTTTTATCACTTTATAGGACATCATTGTGAAATTAATTTTGAATGAAAGATAGAAATCTATGCGTCTAAACTTATTCATTTTAATTATACGTATAAACATGACTGTTTATTTGTTATTTTCATGGTTTTAGGGGAAAAAAATGTATCATGTGTCCTCAAAGCTCTAGTAAATTTCTATAATTTTGCCAAATATAAAGTTTCTCCCTTTAATGATTCTTAATTTAGTAGGAAGGTTAAAATTTATGATAGAATTACAGACTTTCACACAGAACAAAAAATATGCCCACGATCTTTGTTCTCATGGGTTTTTGGTTGTTCAAAAGTTTTGGGGTTGCAAGATCTGGGCTTATTTCAATTACTATTCTGTTATATTTTCAATCTAAGTTTCAATCTATGATTTAATTAAGGAACATGGACTGGATCATACAAAACTGCACCACGAATATTTTCTATATTCTTTTATATACCTGTCCAGTCTGTAAACGACATTTTCTTCTCTACATCTTAATTATATTTTCATACAAGAGTATGATCCCATCGATTAAAAATCTGTTTGCAATTTTACATGCTAAACGATCGTGGAATTGTTTTACATTTGCAGATCTGGCCTCAAGACCATAAACTGAAAATAAACTTAAGTAAAAATTTCAAATTAATATATTTTGATAAGTAAGAAAATTTCCATCATGTGTTTGTGTTTGTTTACTTGTTTATTGATGTTCAATGTCCCTCTCGAGAATTTTTCACTCATATGGAGACGCCACCGGTGGAGAGCTGCAAATTTTGACCTATACTCGGCACTCAGAACCATTGAGCAGTGATGGATCTTTTTCGTGCCAGCACCTACTGCGACACAGAGCCTCGGTTTATATGGTCTCATCCGAAGGACCGGTCTCCACGTCCCACAGTGGGATCCGAACCCGCGACGTAAGGATCAACTCCTTACTCCGCGACTCTAGAGCAAACGCTCTAACCACTGCGCCATGCGGGCGAAAAATGTGTTTGTGAAATAAAATTCAAGATATTCAAAATCGACAATTTTTATTTAATTCTGTTTTCAGTTAATGGTCTTGAAGCCTGGACGCTGTACTATATGGACAAATTCCATATGATGAAGTCGGGATCGATAATGGAAGATCGCTGTTTAAAAAATACATTTCGTGAACAAGTATATTTTTGACAAATAAAAAAAAAACCATTCATCATTTTACACACCAGCAGCAAATGTAAACAAGTGGAAAACACGTGACTTGAATTAAGTAAAATACTTTCGAAAGGCATAATAATATAAGGTCTTTTCCCGTGTTATAGCACCTCTTGATTCGCGTTTAACACTTTTAAATCATATTTGAAATAACCCTTATTTTGTGTTAATACGTTATTTAAAAGGTATAATAATGCCTTCTAATGCGCATATTATGCCTTTCACTTTTTATTACGCCTTTTCACTTAGCCTTTTAATTACTTTTAACTATTTCCGTAGTTCAATAATATTAGGTTTTCGTACTCTCCTTCGTGGTCTTTTTATTCAAACTATATTGTTGTCGAAAAAAATTAACTGATAACAAGCGACAGAGAAATATTTTAATATTCAAATATTCAACAAATATAAAGGTTGGTTTATCAATACAGTTAATTCAATCAATACAATTAATATCAATAAATAAAATACAACTCGTTGATGCAAATAAAATCCTTTTTGTTTCATCATTTGATTCACATGTATAATTTATTTCTACATATGATTCACAGGTACATGTACATAACAATAAAAAAAAAGTACACTGGACGGTGAAAATAGTACAAGGAACATTTAAACGATACTTCAGTTTACTTTACGAGCTTTATTTTGACGTAAGATAACCAGAAATGGTACTCAAAGAGGATGCCTCAAGATGGCATTTCTGTTTTTGCGGGGTGTACGTGTCGCTGTTCACAGAAGGTGTGTTTGATGAACTGCTGGTTCTTTTGGTGACGATCTCGTGGTTGGACGACCCAGATTTCGTGGAAGAAGATTTGCAGCCGCAAAGTCGAAGAATTCCCATTCGAAACCTTTTGTTCCCTACGGTGTATATGATGCAGTTGACGCTAGAGTGCAAATGTGCCAGAAGTGTAACAAACAAATGAACTTCTGTGGAAAGATTATCCTGGACGTCAAGGGCAATGGTTATAGCGTACGGCGTCCAACACACAACGAAGACAACAAAAATGCAGAATAAGGTCTTCGATGAACGAACAGTTTCGCTCCATGCCTTCCTCATTCTCAAGGGGTTTTCGGTATCCAATTTGTAGATATCGCGTTTTGTTTCCCAGATTTGTTGAAAAATCAGAATATAACAGATAGTCATTACGATGAGCGGTCCACCAATCAAACCGACTGAGACAAACATTGTATAGGACAAACTCGCCGTGCGATCCCAGATACATTGATGGTTTTTCTTGTCAAAGTAGTGCCCACCCCACCCGATAAAGTTAGGAAACTCGAACAAGAAAGCGACCACCCAACAGGTAATGCAAAACAAAATGCAGGAAATTCGATTAAAAACTTTGTCGTAGACATGATTGTGGTATAAATAGATATAACGTGACATCGTCAATAAAGTCAGACTGAGAAACGCGCAGAAACAAGCTGTCAAACAAAGACTGGCAACAAACTCACACATCCATTTCTTATCGTCGAAAAACTGCTCTCCTTTTGCAACTCCTAATAAGAAACTATGATATATTGTTAAAAAGAATATAATGAATTGCTTTAAAATTAGATGGCATGATTTCAAAGAAGGAATAAACCCTTTTACGACTAGTGCGGTACTGTTCTTTTGCAGGGCTTATACTATAGTTTTCAAAGCTTTTATTTGGTATATAATTAAAAGACGCTTATTTCAGAAAAGACTTTAATGTTAACCTAGCAACAAAACTTGGTGATGAACGTGATGACTTCAACTTACTTATGTAGCAATAAACCCTTCTCACCTGCATATGGGATTTATATCTCCTAGATAATTCGATACACAAGAGTATGCTCCACGTACGAACAATTTCTAAAACGAGGCAAGTTATTGACAAACAAGTTGATGAAACAAGGATATCAACAGTCACGTTTAAAGTCATCATTTCGCAAGTTCTATGGTCGATACAATGACCTAGTCAGCAAATACAATCTATCATGAAGTTGAATGCTGACTGACGTTTTTCATACTAATTGTTAGGCCATTATTTACACACTGAATTGTCTACGGATTTTTTTCGTTTTCCCGATCATGACAATGAGCACACAGTGGGTGTGACCGGTCGACAGAGGAAGATTACTCCTCCATGCACCTGATCCCACCTCTGATGTTATTTTTAGAGGTCCATGTTTGCTCTGCTCTCGATGTATTGTTTCAATGGATTTTTTAGCTTGATTGTTGTTCGTTATCTCCATATTTCATTGTAAATAAAGCACTGATACTGTTTGCCCTGCAGAAGCGTAGTACCGCAGTTATTGAGAAACAGTATATATATAACACATCAAAATAATCAAATTTTCGAATTGATAAAACGTCACAAATACAGAATTGAATGTTAATTTCATGTCAAGTCTTCTCATGTTTCCGAATAGTTCAGTGGTTCAAAGTTTTTACTTTCTATGTAAACTCTTCATTAGGTGATCAATCTCAGAAGTCTGTGCTTCACAATAAAACTCCTATTAATATTTGCCCCGTTGCATCTTTTAATAATTTCTAGTAGCAAAATATAATAAATGATACACGTTCAATTCTCCTTAAACAACAGTAAAATATTTACCGATGATGCAAAGCGGGTCTGCCACTGCTGTGACGCAGAAGTCAGCGAGTGCAAGGTTAATGATGAATTCTTTTCCGGATTTGTTGATTCCTCTTAGGACAGTGGAGACTAAGAGTATTAGGGTGTTTCCAACAGTTCCCACCAAAAGAGCAGTCGCCATGATGACGATATAGCCTATTGCTAGCGAAGTATCGGTCTCCAGTAGAGGACTCTTCCGTATCATTATGGTAGCATTACCAAAGTCCATGCAATTTTTCAGTGTATCATTGAGATCAGATGTCCCATCCTAGAATTAAACAGCAATTTAGTCTCATGCTGATGTTCATATTTAATTGGTATGATGTAGTTTTCATGCAAGAAAAAATTTACTGTAAACAGTTTCATTTCTATAAATTAAGTCCATAAATATTCAGTATTGATATAACAGAAAAACAATTCAATAGATGGTATTGATTTTATCAAACTTATGCAGATTCTGCAACATTTAAGCCATATTTCAGCAATTTCATGACATCTGTCAGGGAAGAAATGTATAGAGAAAACTACCATACAACAAACAAAATAAGTAAGCATTTATCGTAATTTTCAAAGAATAATTTATTATAATTCCAATATCCTTTCAAATATTTGAATGTTTGACATTGAACACTCTATTGCTGAGTAGTATTTACTGATAAAGTACTTGATTAACTACATTTATCAAAGTGAATTCCATTTTCTATTAAATTACACGAAATAAGCATAGTTTTTCATATAACAAATTGAAAATTATAAATTTCTGATATTAACGTTAAAGCAAACAATTGCAGTAGAATACAATTTACTCTTTCAAATAATAAAACAATTAAAAAGTTTTCATACCATACAGTTCGGAGAATTGGTTACAAACACTCCCATACTGGATGATAGACTGTGCGATCTCCAGAGGATGCGCGGTTGTCTTATATAGGATAATTACTATATCATTGCCGACCATTCAAAGGATATACGTCAGCCTCATAATAACCGCGCATTGTCCTCGGAATTATGGTAGATGTCCGATAACAAATTAAATATCAAATACACTATGAAATCAGAGGATCGGGGGCGTTTTTTTTATGTAATATATTTACTCATGTAAAATTTTTGTTCAGATGCAAAGGAAAAATATTGGTTCATGATATGGGTATTTCATTCTCTTGGTTTTGCAAAACAAAATGGAAGCTGACAGGTAAAAAAAGACATGATCCTTTTATTATTAAAACCAACCTTTGTTTGAAAAATGCAATAAAACATGCAGAATAAGAACGGCTTAAATTACTATTAATTAATTTGACTTGTAAATCTTATATATATTATATATTTCATTGCAATGTTTATCGGTAACGATCCTCAAATAAAACTAATGTCCAAAAAGCTGCAAGAATTCCATCAGTATTGAAAGCAAGATTTTTGTCTTGTCTAGACAGCCGAGTGGTCTAAAGCTCTGTTCTGCACTGCTAAGGAGGTAGATTCCGCAGGTCGAGAGTTCAAACCCCGGCTTGGGCGGGCGGGATTGAGTATCCATATAAAGTGAATTCTGTTCTATGATATATATATATATATATATATATATATATATATATATATATATATATATATATATATATATATATATCCCATGTTAACCCCTTTATCCCGTGGATATGACTCATTGGATAATTTTTTCATAATCTACAGTTGTGACGTCACAACGGTTTTTGCGTTAGCGCGATGAAGTAAAATAAAGTGGAGTCTTATATAAAACAGTGTAAAACATTGATTGTGAAGTATTAAACATGGGATAAAAAGAATCTCCCATGATTTGTAGTTGGATATGACTTTTATCCAACTCGTTGTGTGTTTTTATCCCCTCGCCAAGGCTCGGGGATAAAAAACACACAACTCGTTGGATAAAAATCATATCCAACTACAAATCATGGGAGATCCTATATATATATACCTGCATTTGACAGGCCATTTTGTGGCATGGAGATTCTCTTTTGACTCTCAGATAACATGGAAACATTTTAGTGATATAATTTCTTATATTTTAGTGGATTATAGATTTCACTGCAGAAGAACAAAAAAATTTTTAAAAATGGTTGCAAAGATAGATCTTTCAATTGTCTTTCGGTATGTTTATAACTTTTTATCATTGACATTATTTTCATAAATTCAAAAAAAAAAAAAAAAAAAAATCAACAATAAATCAACCCTTTGTTCAGTGTTATCGATGTAGTGTGTGTGAAAACTGCTCCCAAGTTTTCAGTTCATATGACCTAATTCAAACTTACCGTGTAGAGGTGGGCAGTTGAAAAACGATATTAATTTAGTTTTTATCGCCTTGTTAGCGACCAGGAAAATCTGTGATAATGGCTTCTTTAATTAGCAACATGCGACTGTGAATTGTTATTGCGTAACACTTACGATGTGTTTTTTAAATGAAGTATATATAAATACCAGGTTACATGTAGGTATCAATATTCATTTTTAAAAATATACTGTCAACAGATAAATTTTCTTCATAAACTACGGTGGAAATTTTGGTTCTTCAAAAGATTTAAATCATAAACATCTATATATATGTGTTATATATATATATATATGCTTAAAGTGACATAGCAATATTCATTTGCATTCTTTCACTTTTTATTTACTCCATTCGGAAAATTTAGGAACAAAGCAACTAATACAACATATTTTAAATCAGCGAAAAGGAAAGAAATATACAGGTAAAATCATTAGAGAGCAACTACGTGTAAAACAACATATAAATTTACATCAGTGAAAACTTAAAGGATGTGAAAACTAGAGTGTTCCAAGGAACACGTGTCGCAAGCTTTATAGCATCATTGAAGATTGAAATAAATCTAAGGGTGGTCAGATATTTATTTGCTACTAGCATTATAGCAAAGAAAAAATGCACATGAGCGTAGCACACGGGGGGGGGGGGGGGGGAATACTTTTTTGATGTTCGATGTTTTTGATGTACATGTAGCTTTGCTATGTAAGTTTTTTAATTTGGGCACTGTTCTCTCCTCCCCATTTTTTGTTGCTGTCCGCTCGAACACTGGCAAATTCCAGCATTAAAAAATGGACCGAAAAGTTAGAGAAAGGTCCCCCTACACATACCACACGCGTGAAGTAGGATTTTCGAATAGTAAGATCGATAGAATAGCATTTATTATATGAAATCTGAAAACCTCAAATAGAAATATGATTCTCCAACCCTCAAAGTTTAGAGAATAATGAAATAAGGTGAAATTATTAGAAATAATTATTTGTCATTTCAAAAAAAATAAGATTTCTTTCTACGAGGTCATGTAAGAAAAAATATTTGTATGCTCTTGCTGCATGGAGTTTGATTAATTCAGAAACCATGAGTTTTAATTGAGTTTGAGTTTTAATTTTTCACAACAATTTTATATTTTTATAAAAATACAGGATCAGATTTGTATTGAAACCGTACCTTCTTCTTAAATCAACTATCCGGAGTATATTTGCAGAGTAGATCAAAGGTCAAGGTCAAGTGGACTACCGCTGGTATTTTTCATAACCGTACGTTTTTTGGCAAACAGTGCACATGCTAAATAACATAGACTTACCTCTTAAATGTCAAAGATATGCTGTATATCGGCACTATTTTGAAAAGTAGGTCAAAGGTCAAGCTCAAAGGTAACAAAGTCGGTAAACATGGTAATTTACAGAAGTCAAAGTGCCATGCAATATGTGTGGAAAATATCAAACTCATACCTCTTGTAGTTCTCAAGATATAGGGTATGACAGACAGACGGACGGACAGCTGGACAGACACCGGGTAAAGTGGTCCCTAAGTGTCGCTCTGCTCTGCAGGCGACACAAAAACATATGGCTGAGGTCATTATCTAGAGCGTTTTGTACATTATTATTTAAAGTATGATTTATCCGCGATCGGGATTGGTCTAAATCTGAAAATTAGCATTTTTCTTAAATTTCGCAATTTCGATTCAATTTCTTAATGAAATTCAATTTCATCATATTTCTTTTCTATCGGTAACTTGTTTTTTGGAAATTTTATCCGTAGGTTTAAAAAAATATTAATAAATTTTAACTTTTATATTCATAAATTATTTTTATTAAAAAAATTCAAAAGTCTCTCCGACTCTTCTTTACATGTTTCATGAAATATTTAGAGAGTGCATTTATTAACAGCAAATTTTAAACTCTAAACCATCCTCTTTGCAAATAAAACACTTTTTACAATTGTTTTTGGTTGAAAAAAACAAAAAAAAATTCATATAAAATAATTAGGAGGTAATATCAATCTTTCCATGCTGAAACCGTGTTTCAAAAGATATGTCTTAAACAGCAATTAAATAAAAATTTTGGTGTAGCATTCCACCTTAAATTCTTACCGAGTCTATTTATGAGGACTCTGGTACATGTATGTTCACGTGGCCTTGCCTGTGGAATATAATTAAAATTTTGATGAATTATATTCCTTATTTCTTTGTTTAAAAAGATTTGCGAGTATGCGTGTTTTTTTTCTGTTTATATTCAGGAGACAGACTGCGAAGAGTATGCCGGAATAACCAGTAGTTCTCTGAACAGATGATCTCGTCAGAGTATACAATACAACAACAAATAAATCAAACCAAAGGATTATTAAAACTGTCATAGACATCACAGATTAACCATAAATATTGGAATATAAAGACTTGTAAATACATCCCCAGCTGTGTGTCCTCTTTGTCTTTCTTCAGGGAATTTAATTAAATCAATTATTCTTCTCTTTTAATCTATCTCAAAAAAAAATTCAGGTAATGAATAACACAAGGCATGCATGTAGAAAACATCTGCTAAATAATGAAACAAGAAGCCCAAGGGCCACAACTCTCACCCGAGCCACCTTTCTCTTCCTGACAAATGAAAATTAACAAATCTGAAAAACCTTTTTGAGACCATCAAATTAGTCAAAGATTTCAGCAATCCTAATACATATTACATTTAGGCTTAATTCATACAAACTGTATCTTTTCTTGTGGGTCTCCGTATTTCTATATGAAACTTTGTTCTTCTGTCGCTGGCCAAAGGGGCGAAGATTTCAACAAAATTGAATACGATATGGAGATAGTTGAATACTTATCTCACGAATTATATCACAGGATGAAATTATAACAACTCTAAGCCAACTAATAAAAATTGAATGGCAATTGAAAGAAGCGTTGAAGTGACCTTTCAGTGATCATTAAGTCAACTGAGAGCACACTGCATGGCATTATATTTCAATTTTTTTCAGTCGTTTCTTTTCACTTATAGAGGTACACTTAAATTTTTGAGAACTCTCTCTTTTTTTCACTGTCTCTTTCACATGGCAATAGAACTTCATTTCCATTATGAATTCCGTCGATGATATATTGTATGGTCCAGTAAAAGTTGAACTAAACCTCAACCATACTCTTCACCAAAATATTAACTGCTGTGAAGGAGAAACTTCAGATGTATTCATATTGTTCTACAACATATTAAAGACGTGGTGTAAATCAAATGTGGATTCTAAAAAAATTCAGAGAACTTTCGGAAAATTAAAATTTCAAAACTTTTTAAACATCAATACTCATGACTTTTCTACGCTTTCTAAAACCATTTCTCACGATAAAAACTAGGCTTTTTGATATCATAGGCAACTGCTTCCTCAATAAAAATTGAACTCTAAATATTTTCTAAATATTTTCATATTTTGTGATTGTTCAACTACAAAATTACTTTGTTAAAAATCATTCTGATTTTACACGAAAGTACTCTGAAGTTGATATTAAATAGATGCTGTAGTTCCTCATTGACAACATTTATGTAGTCTTTGGAGACCAGGTTCTCCAACAATCTGCTGGAATTTCGATGGGCATTAATTGTGCTCC